TATATATATATATATATATAGTTCTTCCTTTATCTTCCTCAATCTACCAGCGTCATTATCCTTCTCTCCCTTTTAATTCCCTTTTTCTTCCTCTTGTTTCTTCTTCTTTCTTCTTTTTTCTTCTTTGTCTTCTTTTTTTCTTCTTTGTCTTCTTTTTTTCTTCTTTTTTTTCTTCTTTTTTTTCTTCTTTTTATTTCTCCATCTGCCAGCGCCATCGAAGTTGATTCCTCATCTTCTGCAGGGAGAAGAAGAAGAAATAAATAAATAAATAAATAAATAAATAAATAAATAAATAAAATAAATAATGAAGATTATTAACATTATTAATTAAAATAAATAATAAATAGACAAAGAGGATAAGCAATTGTCTTCCCCCTCCTAGCATTTCCCTCAAAATATAGACCCTAAACCCTAAACCCTAAACCCTCAGCTAAACCCTCAGCTAAGAAATGACGAAATTAGAGCATCTAGGTGGTGGTTTAATAATAAATATTCAGGGTTTAGGGTTTAGGGTTTAGGGTTTAGGGTTTGGCTAACCTCAAATCGTGAAGGAGGCTGACAATGAAGTTTAACTCGCCCTTTTAACCCTAAGAAAAAAAAATGCATAACCCTTATTATTATGCTATTATTATTATTATTATTGTACTTATTTATTTAATTTATTTATTTATTTAGTAATTAATAAAAAGGGAATAAAAAGGAGAGAAAGAATTACCTAATGGCTCTAATACACGATCTACCATGGCGTTAATTTGTTTGTATGTTTTCCCTTCAAATAAAGGAGAACATAAAATACCCTATAAATAAATACATAAATAAATACATAAATAAATACATAAATAAATATAAATATTAATATAAATACATTTATATTTATATTTATGCATAAAAGTGTATAAATATATGCATTATTTGTATATTTAGGCATAATAATATAAAATATAATAATATATGAACAAAACAAACAGGTATAGGAAAAGATGAACAAATATTCCTTTTATATCTACACACTCTGCTGTGTACTTTTCCTGTTTATTTCTTTTATAATAAATAAAATAATTAAAATATATTTATAAAAGTTTATTTGTATACTTTATCCATGAGTTTATATATATTTATTTGTTTCTTTCCCTACACATACATAAAAATGTTGGTCATAGACATGGTGGCCCATGGCGTAGTCATTCTTTACGTAGAAACAAATTGGATTAAAATTTCTTTCTACTGCTTCTCTTAATTTAAGAAGATTTGGGCAATCAGGAGCTGCAAATTTATGCGCTTTTCTACATTGTTGACGGTTGTATTCAAGAAAGCTTGATGAAGAGTTTGAGCCACTTAGAGCCGCTTTCTCAGCAAAAAGAGGACGAAATAGACAACTATAAGTATATTTGCGTGTATATAAGGAAGCAAAATGCAAATATAACCGCGAAATATTACTTGTTGAAGAGGATGAGTTGCTTAACAACGATCTGCTTATTCTACCCAGTGATGCCGGGGTGGCAAGTGAAGGTATGAGTGTGACCATGGGTCTTTTTCCTCTACTAACGCTATAATACAATATAAATACCTCAATAAACTCAAAATAAAAAATATAAAAGAATATTTAATCGTTAGAAGCTGCGCTTCCATTGCCTCCTCGTGCATCTGATATACCAACGAGGGGGGCCCCAGCCAATCTCGATCTCCCCAGCTGTTTGTCTTAACTGTGTAGAGGCATTAAATGTCTGATTATATCTTTTATATCTTATTTAGAGAAACATTTTGTATAAATAATTCCTCCAGACCTAGTAATCGTCTATCAAGGGGAAAGAGGCAGTGCGCCATATCTGTGCCCAATCGTCAGCGCCTGTGTTACTACTACTCCTGTGTGTATACCGCCCTTATTTATGCGCTAAATTGCCACCCCTTTATATACGCTTTACTCCTTTTATATTGAATATCTGTAGACAACTATGACAATTGAACCAATGGTTTAACCACAACTAATCAATGCAACGCGCCCTCGTTTCCTCCGCACACATCGAGACAGGAAAAAGAACACATAAGTGTTCTACCTGTTGTACTTGCAACTAAAAAGAATCATGATCAGTTAATCTATAAGTATTATACGTATCCTAGATACAAATAAAGCAGCATAACCAACTAATCTAATATAATAAGTTGGATACAACAGCTAATCTAATTAGTTTCCCACAACTCCCTCTGTAGCCCTCTGTCTGCCTGTTTGTTTGCCTACATTCGTGCCAAGTACTACTACAGTCTTCTATGTTGCAAAAAGGAGGAAATGGCATAATAGACCGACTTATTAAAGACTAAACGAATGTCTATATCTTTTTCCTTATAATTCTTTTATTGTACTTATTTTGTTGCTTCCTCTTAACCTCATAAAGAGAATTCTTCCCCTCCCTCCCCACCGCATCCGTTCAATTAGCAACCGAAGGACGGCGTTATGTCTCGATCGCAAGAACGGAAAATTAAACAAACAGTACAGAGTTCGTTTGTCTGGTTAACAGTTTATGAACCTGTCCTGTCTGAATTATTCTATTTTGCATGCTGCCTGCTGCCAACAACCATATAATTTATATGTGAATTTCCTTCCTTCCTCCTCCCTACTTTTGCGCATTTATTTAATATTCAATACTTTATGTATTTATTATTTACATAAGACGAGATTGCGCCATCTTCTGTTTAGGGACCATCTTTGCTGGGGCAGAGCGGGCACCAGGAATTACTGTAGACTTTGGCTTCTCCTTCTTCTCCTTCTTCTTCTCTTCCTTCGCTGGCATCTTCCTCATCTGCGTAACCATCGCATGCAATGTATGCATATATACATGTGCATGTGTACTAGATATTGTTCATAGTCGTGAACACATGTATATATTACATATAATGTAAATAATATATAATATATAATATACTGCGTGAGTCCTGCTCAACTGGACGATGACATATACCACCAACTAGTACATAAGTATGCTGAGAAGTATATATAATGTACATTATATATATAAATATATACTATAAAATATTCTACACAACATTTCTGCTTCAATACATATTAGATATACATCGCTGATGGCTTATTCTCCCTAGCATTCAACTTCTTGACAACTGCAGGTACTGAAGGATCGGCATACCTTTGAGGGATCTGGTTTTGCCGCTCTTCTCTGCTTGATTTCCTCAAGGGAAATACCGACAATGGCTTTCTGAATCTTTGCACCCTTACGAGTGCGGCGTTTAGCAACGGCCTCTCCTCTGCTCTTCTTGTTGGCGCGGCGCCATACCTTCACACAAACCCCAAAACCCAATAGCATAGACCCTAAACCCCTATCCTGAAGCAGTCAATCGTGACAACACAATACAAGGAAACATATCTAGCACCCATGATTGTTCGGCCCAGCCCCTCTTGGCACTCCTCCTATGAGAAGAAACAAACCATGCTGGGACAACAGCCGTTTCAGTATGCGCGGACCTTAGCACCGGGCCTTCACGGCGATTCAGGCACGGTGACTCTGGCCGCAAACATCAAATAGGCCATGCCTGACCTAACAAACTAGAGAACAAACTCTCTAACTAGCCGAAAAAGCGGCAACAGCAACAGCAAAATGCATGCAACAGTTGCTTGCAACAGCACGCAGACCTACCAGAGTCCAGCGGAGCTTAGCTGCCTTCAGCTTCTGTCTTCCCAGGCGAGCCTCCTTGGAGTGTATGTACGTATGTACCTTTCCATCACGAGAAACGAACTTCTGTCCCCTCCCTGGATAAATACGGTACTCGCTGAAGGAGCAGAGCTCCGTCTTAATGGTGGTCTGAACTGCCGCCATCCTCGAAGTCTGCGCAATCAATAAGCGCATTCGCAGAAATAAACAATTAGAGGTTTGAAAGAATACTCAAAATCCAAAAAGAGGAGGAAAAAATGCACAAGCAATCGTACAGAAACACACTGCATGCAGGCAGTCGCGAAGGGAGGTGGCGAAGCCTGGAGCAACAACCGGTCCGGAGAAGCCGCCACCGCCTGACTAAATACCCCAAAATGTTTCGCCAAATTTCTATCCCCATATCTTTTTATGAGGCAAAACACAAACAATACAGATGAGAGGAGCACACGGAACGTAGTGACTAAGGCCACAACAGAGAGGACAAGAGGCAGCTGAGTGATACATCCAACCTCGGAAGGGGAGAGAGTAGAAATTCAATTTTAAACCGAATTAAACAGCTTACGCACAAAAAGAGGCAACAAAGAAGTGGTGGCAAAACAATAATTGGGGCAGGCAGGCAAGGAGGCGCACAGAAAACCACAGAGCAGAACTACTGAACTGCTGCAATACTCCTCCAGATGACTCAAAAGCCTCACCACAAATAAATTAAATCCTCCAAAATAAAAGGCGAGCGCCGTCAATTTCCTGAGCCATTCAGCTCAGTTAAAGACAGATGAAGGCCAAAGCCAGCTGCAGCTGCCGCTGTGATAACACCCCACATACGCGCTTCCGGGGCTTGGCGCCACCAGCGCAACGCATGCACGCATTAAGCTGCAACGAACTGTATTTGCTAGAGTCTAATTAGCTTAAAGTTCCATCATTTTTATTTGTTTGGTGGAAACGGCCACACCAACATGCATACAGCACCTCTAGAAGGGCGTACACTGGCCTTCAAAGCTACGCATTGGTCAGCGCTTTTGCACTTTCCATTGCAGCCCGAGCAAATATTTAATAATCAAAAATGGTGTAGGTATATGAATTGAAGTGAGGAGTAGCCGCTCTCTCTTCTGTGGATATTTGCCCCGTAAGTACTGCAACTGTATCGGGCTGTAACACCGGTGCATAGTCTTGTCTGGATCCGGGACTATTGTGGACAGCAGTGTGAGCATCAATACTTAAGGCTAGATTTTCTTTAATGCAGCTGACGCCTTCTTTCAGTCTATTAGCGTGTTGATCTTAGCATCCCTAGCGTATGTAGTCTTAGTGAGGTTGTAGCGCAGCTCGTTACAACCCAAGGTGCAAGACAGCCCCACAAGCAGGCATAAATATGCCTTGTAGCAGGTGCCATCATAGGCTTAATGTTGAGTTTCTACATTTGTCCCCGGGGTTACAAAAATACCCCCGGGATTTGCCCCCAAAGGGTCAGCAACACTAGAGAACTGGAAGGTGAGATATATATAACTCGTGAAACTAGCAATTCACAGAATACAAACAAAAAGAGAATATTGATTTTAGAAGCCAGGGCTGCGGCATGCTGAATGGGTATCGTTTGAAGGAAACAATTCATGATGAACCTGTACATACAATCGTTTAATCATCAGCAAGTTCTCTAAGCATGCGCACAAACGGCACAGCTTACGGTTTGGATTCATCTAATTATTCGGTAACTGTTGGTGTTCCTCAACCGTATGAGGAAAATATTACGCCTTCACTGTGATGTAAGATGACAACTAGTCCTCTTTCTGCTATCTAATTTCCCTCCTATGCCAGCAGAAGGCGTTGTACAACTCTTCCTGCATTGGCGCTCCTTCTCTGGACAGCCTAGCAAGTCAGCGACCGTCAGTGAGGTGCCAGCTTCACTGAAGCAAGCTGGCATTACGTTCTCTATTCGGTTCTCTTTTTGGTAAGCAGCCGATCAGAGAAATTGATGGCGGCTTGCTTGCGTGGAAAGTCCGAGACAAGCCCAGCAAGAAATATCAAGCAAAAGATGAGAGTGCTGTAGGAGAAAGATGAGAGAGCAGCAGAGTTCAATGTGGTTTGTAGCTGCCAGAACATCAGATCTTGAGAAGCCTTGAGAAGCAACAGGATGCTGGAGGCGGTGCTACACTGGCACGAATAGCAACAGCCGATAATCGCCTCGGCTGAGCAGCAAAAAAAAACAGAATTACATTTCAGCACAACAAATCTCAGGGCGTATGCTACTTTGGCCAGGGGGGGCCGCAGATATAGCATAGTTCCGACCATTGAAAACATTAGTCAAATTGTATGCAAGGAAAAGCTTTCAAGAGTGGAATACATTATTGATGCGTACAGACACGAGAGTTTGTTTGAGCTGTCTTGTGGAGCTCTGTTGCCCCTGATTTTGCGGCAAGTCGCGTTACTATTCATGGCTGTCACCCTCCTCACACGTAGCTGCTAGGTCTTGAACAGCCGAGCTCAGGACGCAGGGAGAATGGGAAGGGAGGTTTGCTGCTTTAACGGAGCTGTCACTGAAAGTGCGTTTACTACTCTGAAACTCAAAATTTGCCTTCGATATTGTTGTGGCCCGCGCTACACAGACCCGATTTCCCCTTCGGGCATCAAGTCAAAACACCAGTGTGATTCCCCATAACGAATTCTTGTCATGTTGTGATAGTGCCTCTCATTTGTAAGAACCAAATGAAAGCTAGGTGACGGGCTCTTAATCATGATACAACCCTGGTCTCTTGCTACCCCCCGCTTCCTGTTGTCGTGGCAATGCCGATGGCGTGCACAAGCATCTCAAAGCTCCCTAGTGAATAGATATCGTCTGCAATATATTGATTATTGTGATTTACTGTCTTTTCTATTAAATTTTCCTAGATGGACTTTTAAAGGCTAGCATTCAAGAACCCCAGGACCGCGCGTTGCCAGTTCACAAATTCATAAAGATCGAAACGGTTTGGGGTGCCGGGTGGCGCTTCGCTCCTCTGCAATTAAGTGCTGCAGATATTTTGTTTTTGCTTTATTATTGCAGTACTTACCTGACTGAAGATGGCAGCAATAAATCCTTCTCTGCGGCTTGTGCACATAGTGTGCTTCAAGTTCAAACCAGAAACCCCCACCTCCGTACACCAGCGCATGGCTGCTGATGCGGAAGGGCTGACGAGCTCAATAAATACAATTCCCTTTACCCTTTTTTTTCGCCAATCTTTTACAGAGGAAAGAACTAAAGGGTTCACCCACGTGCTCCATTCCCAATTCAGCAGCAGGGAGGACCTCGAGACGTATGCCAAGCATCCGCTCCATCTCGAGTTTGTAGCGAAGTACAAGCCTCATTTTGAAGATGTAATGGCATTTGATATTGAAATCTGAGTTCAGCCACACACTAAAATTCGCCTCAGAGCCGGTGCATGAAGCGTACTGCTGGCGTTCAGCAGGAAGGGGGGGCCCAAGAGGCGCATCAGGGGCCCCAATGTGGACGAAAATCAGAAGGGCTTGATCGTCTTGCAGGCTAGCGAGACGGATTATAAGAGGAAGGTTGGGAACCCGTTGCTCTAGCATGATCTGCAGCGGCACCTACGCTGTAGATGTTGCTATTGCAACATCGACGGGACAGTAAATGCACCGAGGTGTCCTACTGCCACGTCGTACTGAGTCCAGCAACAGGGCCACCAAATATTGTAAGGTGCTCCCAAGCAAGGAGAGTGACTCAAGACGCTCTCAAAGCCCAGAATCCCGTGGTACTGGCGATGTCGCCTGCCGCTTGTGCTGCGGGTGCTGCAAAAGCCTTGACTTCCACGTTGGAGGATTACATCTTCACCTACATGAAACTTTCCCCAAGAATTTACCGATTTTGTACCACACTTTGATAAAGGTGTTGAAGCACCTGGTTGGACACCTTAAAGGCCCATAACTGTAGCGTATATTACGTTTATAGCTAGCTTCTCAACAAACGCCCCTAGTACAGGTGACCGGTGTACAGAACCTTTTAGGCACTGCAAGCGCATTTTGTGATTACGGGTTCAGATTTCATTATGTGGCTAGAGGGAAGCAGAGAAGCAAAGGGGATTATTTGCAATCTCTTAAGTAGAGGGGTTTATTTCAACGCACTTTTTTTTTTCTTTTTGCGCCGTTTCCACTGGCTAATTATTTATATTCAACAACATTGGAGTTCCCGCTGCAGCTGAAACTCGTATTTGTCAGTTTATGATACTCAGGCAAAGACCAGTATCCGCAATGCACTTCCTCTTAAGTGATGATTAAGTGGTGTTTGCCACTTTCGGTTTCCTTGATAGAGAACTCGATAAGGGGAGCACACGCGCCCTAAGCCGTTTATTCCTTTACGTACGCAGTGGTTCGCCTTTGAATATCTGTTGGACTAACCTCATCCGGAGGCGATTTAGACTGTTATTGGTACGAAGAGGAGGTTTGAAGTGTTGGGAGCTATTCGGAGTATTTATATCCCATATGCTCACGTAGGGCTCGCCTACTTAGTAGACATCTTGGTGAGTAGTACCGAAACCGTTAGATTCTCAAGCAACCACAGTTTTCTCGTAGCAGGAGGCGAAATTGTTTGCGGCGTAAATGCAACCGTCATAGGTTAGCTGCACGACGGTTAGCTTTTGCTCCTCATGACCCACGCAGAGAGGCACTAACCACTCCACAGCAACTGCTTAGAGAATCTACCCACGACAACATGAGCGCATTTGATCCCTGGGGTCTCGGTAGTTCCTAGAGAGCCTGCACTAGATTGCTCTTGTTCATGGGCTAGAAGGGCGAAGTTGTCCAGCGGCTTCGCCGTCGCCCTAACTAATTGGTACATTCTGACATCAAAATAGGCCCCGAGCCTTCTTGAGGTTCCATCAACTGTCAGCTTTGCGGGCTTGTTGCATCCCTTTAAGCAGCAAGAGCTAACCAAAGTATCACGAGCCACATACAAGGCGTCCCCCCAGGACTTTTGCTGCTCTATACAGGACCAAGTGTATGAAATCCCACCTTCAATGGAAGAAACGCTGCCCTCTGGGGGCGATTTTCTTGAGCGCTTCCCTTGGGAAGGAGCTAAACACACTTCTGTCGACCATCGCGGAAGCCTTGATTTGGCTCCACTCCGTCGAGCCAACGGTTTGCAGCAAATTGACACGACGCACTGGCACTTACCCAGCTTGCCAGCTGCCTTACCTATACAGTGGTATATCTCTCCAGTGCATGACGCATTTACAACTCCATCTAAGGTAGGATTTCGATATGCTAAGCTGTCCACTGTATGTAATTGGGACATTCTTAACTGCGAGACCGTCGATTGACCCGGACACATAACGTCAAGTTTGGTGAAGCACGTTAGGCTCTACATTACCTTGTTTAAGTAGCAAGTGTTGCAGGAATGTGCAACGGCGGCAAAGCTCCGCGCTCCCCAACATTAAAACTGGCCTTTGATTGTGCATCTGCCGCTCGGTCAACTGATGTGGTCTGTTTGGCTTGTCACATCATAAATGGCCGCAATACCATTGGACGTATCATGCATATAATGGGACAATTTCCATATTTGGAGCCAAATGTGAGCGAATTATGCGGAACAACGCATAAGTGCGCTGACTGTGGGTCTAAGATGAATTATTTACAGCTTGAAAGATTCCTGCGTGAGCAGAACAGGAGCCACTCCCCTGTGAAAGTTTTGACTGACGGAATCTAGATAATAACAAAAAAGAGGGTCTGGCTACATCCAACAGTTTGCAGCATTAACGGATAGAAAAGGAAGTAGTCGTCGCCTTTCTTAGGAGTTCGACTGCTCGGAATCCAAGTATAAAGCGTCGGCCTGCGCGGGCCGTCTGCGATTACACACTGCGTCTGTATAGGGGCAAAGATAATTGCGTTCTTCAAGCATTCGGTGAGTCTGGATAAGTACTATTACAAGAGTGAACGCTTCGCTGACGAAGATAGACGTTACCGCTCTGTAGCTTCGTTACAGAAGTGTGCACCCTGCTTGTCTATATTCCTCTACCATTTTTTCTGGCCACACGGAACATTGGACCTCCCCAATGTGCATCTTTCGCAATAGTAGCATTGCAACTCTCGACTGGCCGATGCCTCCACCAATGCAAGGAGGTAGGGAACCGTCTAGAACCTGTTGGTGAAAAGGAGATTCCAAGGCGTCCTTGGGCATGCCTGCAGCTTTCGCTTGGCGCAGCATTGCACTTGCATCAACCCGGATTCCCATGCTGCTGAGTTCCAGTGCTTTGCCACTCGTAGGGTCAAGCACTACGATGTCCCCGTTGAGGCCTTGCCTTCCATCAGCAGCCATCGTTGTGTAGTCATCATAGTCCCATGACCGGGGGCCATGCGGCGCTCCGTCCGAAAGCTCAGCTCCTATACCTCTGACAAAAATTGCCCCATGTTCTTCTACGGCCTTTTGCTCGCGAAGGGCAGGGGAGAGATCAGGCCATCGGCTTGCCAACTCCTGCGAATGCACAAAGGTAATACTCGGAGGAAGCACCGGAGAAAGCTTTGGGAAATGCCGGCACAACGACTGCTCTACCTCAACGAGAGTCTCGTAGACCTTGTTAACTGTGTCTCTTAGATAGTCCACGTTTCGATCTTCCGTGTCTATCTTCTGCTCCCAGTCCCACTGCTCCACGAGGAGTGAGTGCGTTGGGTCCAGTTCTTCATCCTTTCTTATGGCAATCATGTCGGTTATGACTCCCTCGTGGGAAGAAATGTTATATGTAACAAGCGCTTTGCGCTTCCACTTCGCTAAGCTGTGCACGATTTGAATGTGCTTGCCAGGCAAAGCCGGAGCAGCAAAACCGACCGGCTGCATGACCCCGTCAAGGCAGTCCTGCAAGCCAGATTGCCTAGCGACAAAGCGAGGAGCAACAACAGGAAGAAGATTTAACTTTCTTGAAAGTAGTTTCATAAATTCGCACCTAAGCATCTGTACAGCAAGCTCCGTTTCACGCAGCGTTAGCAGGGGGGTGTACCGCCGAGGCAAAGAGCGCCCCGAAGACAAGCTCGGGAGATCCATATCCGAGGAAAAAGCCAAAGATCCCTATATATATCTTCAAATTACTACGTGTAAAAGTATCTTAATTAATTCAACGACAAAAAAAAGTCTGGAGCTGAAGCTCGTTTACGTGTCTGTGGGGAGCTCACCAGGGGAGTCCTTGGCCGCGGCGCTATTTTCCGTGCATGCGAAGGGCACGGCGCTTCTAAGCGAGTCACGCCAAACAATTACTATTCCATCACTTGTAAACTTCTTCAGATCTAATATGCCAACCTGTTAAACACAAGTAGTGGGACAAATGGTAGGTTTCTCCCAACGCCTGCGTACGCTGTCACAAGGGTTCCCAATTGTAGCGTAGTGTGAACCGGAGGTCAAGGATCTTTTCCGAGGACTATTGTGAGCCTCAGTTAACCGAAAATACTCACGCTAAGAGTTATTTTATGTCAGCTGACTTGCCTCCCAAGTCTCCAGGAGTCCTGAGGCAGTTGGCTAAAGTTGCTGGAGCCGCGGGAGATGACTGAGATGAAAGCACCTTACCGCAACTAGAGGCGCAAGCTAGCCGCGCACGCAAGCATAAGCAAGCACATGTGACTATATTCATGAATGGTGTAGACAACTCTAGGAGGCTCATGCTTAATTACCGTTTGTCTACTAGGTCCGGGCAGGGTTGCTTATGCCCACTTCAGACAGATGTGCAGAGACCATGCTGCATCTGTCCCACTTCTTCGTCTTACAATCACAAACTTACGTCGTATGCTGATTCCTCACCCTGAAGATGGCCGTACTGACTTGTAACTCCATCTTGTTGCTCCGCAGCCTAGACGAACTTTGGCTGCTTCTACTGCTCCGCTCTTCGTCTCCGCGCGGCACCGCCTTCAGCACCTACACAACGAGTTGGTTGCCGAGGCTGCTGAAGCTCTGCTGTTGCGGGGGCTGCGGGGAGAGCACTTTCGGATCTGCAAAACACGTTGAACTCCGCCGTGCTCTGGTGTGTTGTACTCTGGACAGTGTCTGCTGGGTTCGGTAAACTTGGGTACGAGAAGGTATTAAGCCGTCATTGCAAGGGGAACAGATGTAGGCAGGGTTGACAATAGCTCGGTCTAAGTAGATGAAGGAAGTTAGCTTGCAGGAAAAAGGCTGGTTGTTTCCCTAGAGCGCACACCAAAAATATTTTGGCCTTATGATTCCAGAAAAGGCAACAGCGTCTGAATAATTAATCAGGGCCCAACCTTAAGGTGCACTGTTTGTGCCCAATCCTGCAGTAGCAGCGGATGACTCGGAAATTCCCTGGCTTCGATGAAGGATGGTCCAGTCAACAATCCTCAAAAGCCCATTTACCATGCTGTTTTCTTGCTCATTAAACGGAACATTCTCGCCGTCTTAAGTTTCTACGAATTGTTTCATGGATGTTGAAGGTTTAGGGTCTAGGGTATGGTTTACTCAGTTTCCTGAAGTTGTGACTTGTCACCACAACTTCCCTGACCCACTGCAGGTACAGTTCGGGGGTATTTCGGTGTTGTGCTCGCACCTGCTGTTCCTCGGGCCTTCAATGGATTGAATCCCCCAAACCCCTGATGTTTGCAAGACTCCATGACGGGGCGCATGCACTTCTTCCCAGCTGTCGGCCAGGGCTCTGCAATGAGTCAGAATGCTCCACAACGCTTTGGAGAACCAATACCACGTAGGTCAATGTATTAATGTTACTTTTGGGAATGTGTCTTGAGTTTTGGGTGTCTGTATCGATTGTGGGCATAAATAGCTATGCATACGACCGATAGTTAGCGGATTTTGAGAACGTTTTTGCTCCTTTCTCCTTGGGTCCACTCCTTTAACTCTGGAGGATGCAGATCCCCTTGGAAGTGCTGAGGGTCTCACTCTTCCCTGGCCTCCCGCACGTATGATGTAGTGAACAACGTACCGAACGAGAGAGGACTACGCCCTAAGCTGTGCCTAATTATCGTCTCATAGGGTCTGGCTTCCTAACTACATCCTCTAACTACCCACTTTCCCAAAAGTCAATAATTAAAGTTCTAAACGTGCTCGAATCTCTACTATAAACAGGGGAAATTACCAGAATAATAGAACTGTGTTCTGAATCGACCCCGGTCATGGGTGTCAGTGCCCAACCTACAGGATGACGGGTGGGTAGCAACAGGGACGAGACAGTCAGGAGCCTGACCTATAACTGCAGTCTCCCATAGTCGTATTTATATACATAATACTCCTATATAGTAGTAATTCTATGTCCTATCCAATTAGATCTATAAAGGAGCTTACCTGTTACCCAAGTAGTGACGAGGTAGTACGCTACACTGCTGATAGTGGCTGCTGGCGGGGGGAATCCTCCTAACCTATGGCTCCACCTACAGTACTCGATTCTTAGAACATTTAGCAGTATAAAATCCCATTATTAGTTTCGAGTGTGATAATCATTCTCCTAATGGTGACGGAGCTACTAGAGATCACACCAGCGCCACATTGGAGTGCCTGTGCACTACAACAACCGTCCGCAGCGCATGTGTCTGCAGCAGCTGATCGCTCTCCTTGGTACCTTTTGTAACGGAACTGGTAACTACGAAATAGGTAGAAGGCTGCACAGGTGCTCCCTTGGGTCTTCAACACTGTGGAACATGGACGGCTGCCGGTGCAGCCCTCAACTGGCAACTTCTTAGTTCCACCTCGGACTGGGATTTGTTGAGGAATGATGTAAATGACGGCATGTGAGTTATAGCTCTTTATCTGTTGTGCGGATACGTGCTGGAGGTAATTACACACATGACGTGTGCCGGAACTGCGCCAGGTAGCCGCCTATGTTGTTTACTGAGTGTCAAGACAGCTAATGCATGCGCCTGTTTCTACCTTTGATATGGGAACAGAATGTAAATGGACCCGTAGTTAGGCTTGAAAGAATCCTAGTAAGGTGTCATAACTCATCAGTTTTCTCGTTTTGGTGTGTATTGACGCAGGCCATCCCAAACATCTTTCGACAGTTGAGTTGGCTTCCGCCCTAAATAGCGTCTCCTTTGTTAGTATTGGAGTTTTATCAGAGTGTCGCTGTCTTGATGTGGTGCCTAGCACTTCAGCGTCTATTTCTGTCTAAGGGTGAGAATGCAGCAGCTGAGGTGCCTGAACTTCTTTAACCGCAGCATAGTCGAAAGGACGCGCTGCTTTCCGCCAACAGGCAGTGGATCAGGCAGATTCAGAGGCAATGGTGGAACAACAGAGGTGGATTTATCATGCCCAAGCCAAGCACAGCTGCATGCAGCTGCAACAGGTACGCCGCAGTATTTCGGCGCAATGACCGCAATGACGTAAACTTGTTGCTTTGGAATTATCTTGGCCTGGCTGGTATTGGATAAAAGGCAGGAAAGGTGTCGCCATACATCAACAGACGGTTTGAAACGATGGTAGTCTCTTGCGTTCCTGTGTGCCAGGGCTTCCGCGCATGTCTCCGCTACCGGGCTCCGTCATTGTGTGTACGGTGGGAACTGACTCGGGGCTGTGGCTTGGAGACGATGCAGGCGTCTTGCACACGCTAGACCGCGGCTTTCAGCTAAAGTCTCTGAAGTGCTTCGACATTTGTTTTGTGGCAATGCATGCCGCTGTCTTGGCGAGCTGCATTGTTTGTATAGGGTAAGCAGGAAGATTCAACTCCGCTGGGTGCACTGAGTGCTACCTTTGGGTTTTTGTGGCCATGGCCGTCTTTTTCAGCATATATAAACCATTTGTGCCGGCTCATGCCCAGGCGGGATGCCCCTGTCGAAAAGCCTGGCGATGGGGGTGCTTTCATGGATGGCTCCGGACAAATCGACGAACTGCGTGTACGCCAAGGGGTTCTGAAGTACAAGTGCTACAGTACAACTCAAGTAGATTCCAAGGGAAATCCTGTGCTTCTCCGCGAAGCCGGTCTTTTCTCTAAAATTCCAGAACAGCCTTTCATCTGCTCTGACATCAATCAGAACTTCACCATGTTGGCTGTACGCTGGAAGGCACTCGGCTTGCAGGCTCCTGCTGAACCCACTGTAGATGCTAAAATGCCATCTCGAATCAACCAGAACAGCCGTCAGTTCTTGTGTCCATGGTAGTTAGTTTAGGGTTTGTGGGGTCTTCCATACGTCCTTCTATAGGCTAGCCATATATACCCACAGCTAGCTACAGCTAGCAACAGTTGGAGCATGGTAAAACACAGACATCCTTCGGGGCGTTATACCTGGTGGAAGTTCCCACATTTCTCCCCAACTCCTATACATGCTCAGGTTAACTGCGCGGCTCTTTTGTGCATTTCAGGTTGGCACTGAAACTGCAGGAATTTGCCTTTTCCGCGGCAACTTATTGAAAGAGAAGACCTGCCGGTTGCGACTGATGAGGTAGGCAATATGTGGTATGTGCTACCACTCCATGTGGGAGCTTGTGGATTGGTGGCACTAGCACTTGCAGCTGTGGGAGTCATTTGATTGCTGCTACTTTTAGACAAATTAATGGAGTGCTTTTGCCTCAGGGAAAGTGATGAACGCATTGTTAGCGTGCGCTTCCTGACCTCTCCATCGGATGCCAAAATCCACCATATGCTTGTGTGCTATACCAGTTCAGTAACTTGTTACTTTGTACCGCTAAAGGGAGAGCCCAAGGTCGGTTGTGGGTCATTTGGGGCAAGCCGTGTATGAGTTTGTACTGAGCTTGAAGCTGCCTATAGGAAGATCAAGCTGCCGGTGTGTGCGTGGGTGGTGCTCTGTTGCTACGTGCTGCTTTTGCCAGATATTGTGCTCATTGCGCAGGTTTCTCACACAGACAGTGTGCCCCCCGGATCAACTCTAGTTGTGAGCGCCTTGCCATCTCTTGGAACGTTCGTTGTACACCATGATGAGGGAATATTTTGTGTCGATCCTGATCAGGGCAAGTGCTGCACATGCGGACCTCCCTGAAGTATAGCATTAATTTGTGCCCACTACTTCTTAGGGTTATTCCAGAAAGACAAAACCAGTAGATCTGCATGGCGCTTCATGAGTCGTTTCATTAGATTACTGGTTGGACTCAGGTAACCTGTGGGCCCTCCCAGCAGAAGGTCACTGTCACATATTGACTACCCACAAGTCCTATATTGTCTCCGTCACGACGCAAGAGGCCTCCGCTGAGACTGAGCTGACGAGTGCAGACGCAGCGGGCGGTTTGCTCCATGCATCTGCATCCCGTCCATCCCAAAGTGCGGTAGGTGCCACTACGTATGTTACACCAGAGCGAGCGCCCGTAGACATGCCGACAGATCCTCATGGTGCCCAGGTGGAGCTAGAACATGCCATGGTGAGTAAGTCGTTGTAGCTTTTGTGTTGTGCTTCCACTCGGCAACAGCATCAGATGCTGACTATCCACCTCTGCTATCCGGACCTTCGACTTATAGCCTACTCAGCACCGATGCGGGGCGTCCTCCATGTCGTGTCGGCAATGGTAAGTTGCCAGCAGCAGAGTTCTGTAGCAGTGCCGGGGAACTGCAGAAATATGAGGCGTGAAGTTGCAGCATTCCAGAACGTTCGTGCTGCTGCCACGTCGGGGGCTTATTGCCTGTTTGAAGGATTGCAAGCGCATGGGAATCTCCGTTTCATGAGTTAATTTACCATCTGCAGGACACTCTCTTTGTAATCGCTCAAGGGGGTTCGACGGACAGTAACGTGCTGTTTGATATGAAAGAAAAAAGCTTTAATGAGCGTCTCAGCATCTTGCTGCGGTGAGCAAGCACAACCTCTGCGGGGTTGGATACCTCATTGCTCCATCTATTGTGCACGGCGGCAGCGACATCCAAGCAGCCTTCAGCACGAAGAGCAAGCACCGTTTGTTGTTTGTATCATTTTGACCATGCGAAGTTGAGGGGCTGCTTTCTTCAGGAAGCGGCTCTTTAACTGGGCCGCTGAAGTTGCCCTCCAGGATCGCCAGCCACAGCAAGTTTTGCAGGTAGGCCAGCATGAACCTGGCTAACTGGCACTATGTTTGTTGGAGGGGAATGCAGCTGCTCCGACAGTGACAGAACGACCGTAGGGAAACAGCTGACTAGGCAGTAGTGTTTGAGAAACTGGTATTTGTGTCGAGTTGAGGCTTCTTCAGGAAGTGTATCGGCTTCATGGAGATTGGCTGTATTCAAAGAACATGCCTGAGAGAGCAGTGGAAATGTACATCAAGACAATTGGTGAGGAGGTGCTAGGGCGTATTGCTGCATTCGTAGGTTATTTCGACATCAGCCTGTTTGTGCGTCTATTTGGAAGGCGCCTGCTGCGTGGGAGATTCGCTCTGCAGGATTTTTAGAGCCTTCTGCCGTCATACAAAAGTTCCTCGACGCTCAAGAATTGAAGCACCTTGCCGTCTACTTGCTTCACCTGCACTTGGCAGGGTGTGCCATGCAGCAACACACCCTGCTCTTCTTCAAGTGCACTGCCAGACTGAAGGACGATTCCATTCTTGCCAGTTTTTTGGAGGACCCGCGCATCAGCAAGACTTGCTCCCTCACTGTTGCACTTAACGAATGCCGACTGAATGGTCAGCTTCAAGGAATTCCTCCATGCCATTAACAGGGTTGCGTATTGAATAAGTGTTAGTCTTTGAAATACATGTATTCCAGCGACCTCTTCTTTGGTCTGTAGCAAGGTGGCCTGCATTCGGCATGGCACGGAACCTGCATGAATTTATCCAGGTTACGAGATCTGCCTGTCGGGAAACTTTTCCGCAAGCATATGTGGCGATTGCCGGCCACTTCCAATGCGCTGCACGCAAGGCTGTCTTGCTCAGGAGACACGGAACTTGCGTGCACGATAGCCAGCCGCCACGGATATCACGATGAGCATCTATCTTTGCTGTTGGAAACCCGGTAAGATTACCCATCGTAGGATAGGACCGTTTCAAAGAGCACTTCCGTGCTTTTATGACCGGCGGAATCTCGACAAGTCTATTTTGGACATTGTGAACTTGATCGCATCTCAGGAATTTCACAGAGGCAGTGGAAGTTCTGAAGCGGGTCGATGCACCTACGGCGTGTTCACTCTTGCTAAAGCACGGCAGTACCCTTCTTCGATACAGTGCAGTTGATGTTCTTCTACTTCTAAGTCAATTTATAAAGGATTACCACGCCAGGTTGGACAGGGAGAGTTTTTGCAAACGCCATGATCTGTAGTTGGCTGCATTGTGTCTTCCATTTCGATGCCAGCGAGGTTCCTCAACATCCACCAACGATTGGAAATTGATTGCAGAATGTTTGTTGTATGCAGTGTCGAAGTCTTTATTCCGCTGTTTGTTGACGATTCCGACCTGTTGTTGCTCTTCCTCTCCTTGCTGGTGCATGGGGTGCAAGTGGCAAGCCGCTTAGTTCGGCAGTATGAAACCCTTTGCACGGACGCGAAATTACAGGAGGCGATAGAAGAGGCTAGGCTGGCTATTGCATCCACCCCATCAATCTTTGGGTGCATCCCATTTTCTTCGCTGCTGGAGTTGCTTTTGCGTACGCTTTCGTGCTTTGGTGCTTCAACCAAGGGCTGTCAGGAGGCCCAGCCTGTGGGCTGCATTGGAATAGCAAGCGATCCCTTACTGGGCTGCAGTTTCGGCTGATGCCGTGTGCGACTCCTGCACTAATGAAGCCTGTTTTGTCAAGGCTTGTAGGCGAGATTATCTCTGTAATCTTTGCGGTTTTCCAGGCAAATGGCGTGCAACGCATCGCCCTGCTCTGGACAATAGTGGTGCTGCCACTTGCTTTCTAGACGGAGCGCGGTCTCCCCAGGGCATAGATGGTAATTGCAATGTTCCAGAACCTTCTCCTCTGTACGCTGAAATACTGCTGAAGACCCTCAAAAGCAGAACAATGGTAGGTTCGCTCTATTTCCGTAGGGTTGGGTTGAACGTTGACTTGCTTAACAGCTCATTCCGAGGATTTAACACTGCCCATGTGCTGGTCGCTTGAATGGTGTAGACTCACGAAGAGCAATTTCGCTCAGCTCTCTTGTGCACGATCTTCGGTTTTGAAGAGGGAATGATCCTTGAGTGCGAGAAGAGGCACGAGCTTCAGCTTCCCGTTGCTTATTTTGAAGCAACCAATGACATATCAAGCCTCCTCAGGTTCTGTATGAAGAATGGATCGAAAGCGCCTACACTATGGACGCAAACTTTGAGCATCCTTGCTTCGTGCGTTTACTTCCTCAGCCACCCTGGTGCCAATGAGCTACTTTCCCCCTAGTAAATGGGAGAGGGAAATCTTTTTTGCACAGTGTTCGACTCTACGGGCATCTGCTGTTGTGTACTTTTGTCAGTCAGAGAGGGACAGAGCGTCAGATTAGAGAAGTACTCATGCATATTGAGGTAATGCCTCGTTGCTCCTTGCTTTGCTGAATTAAGCATATGAGCGTGCAGGTAAGCGTGCGCTGCACCTATTGCCCTTGCTAGCCTCACTTATATGTTGTTGCAGCGGCATCGTCTACTGCCGCCGCTGACGGTTTTGGAGGTCCTGCAACGTAGCCCGGCCGTTACGCTTGATGCTGTGAAGGTACGGCAACTCCCCATTGGCACATCACACCGACACCTCCATAAAGTTTTTCCTTTTGCCCCCGACGATTATGCGATATTTCGGCACCTGTGGCACTGCTCTCCACGATCGCATCGAGATTGGGTTGCTCGCAGGACTACTTCCTACGGGCGAGCGACGATCTCAACGAACAGCTAGAACAGTGTCAGGCGCTGTTGCAAAGCGATAGGGCCGAAGTTTCACTTATGTCCAGGGAAATTGAACGATACAAAAGCAAAGGTGGGGGCACATAGGGTGACGAATTTCACCATTGTTACGGTGATATTGGTGACTCTTATGATTCTGAGCTCAACTGCCTTTGCTCAGACGTTAATTGTGTTGATATCTCGGGGCATTAACGTAAGCTATTGTTGCAGTAATTACATGCGTGCATGCAATTGACAATTTAGCACGTAACTATGCATTTTGGTCGTGCACTTGTTCTTGACAATTCCCGGTCGTATGGTTTGTTCGTACGACGTTTCAGCCCAAGTTTTTGAGTCGGAACGATGCGATTTCTGTTTCCTCCCGATTGAACTGCCTTCTATCCACTTCCGCTGCGGGCACTCATTTCATATATACTGCTTGAGCAACAACACTGACAACAAAACTGAGATTCTCCAAACAGATGGATTTTCACAGGCACCATACTGCTGCGCGATTTGCACTCCGCAGTTTAATGCCAAGCGAGTATGTTCATCCGGCACCTCCCCTGATGTACGTTCTGTTGACGTGGATTGGGAATGTTCTTTCTCAGTTACACCACTTACTGCATTGTGCTATTCCGCAGTTGCTGCTCTCACAGAGGGAGGCAGAGGCATGCAACACTGATGAATTCTTCAAGTTTCTTCGAGGATCAACAGATGGGTTTGACTTTATCTTGAGCTGCTTTGGTCGGGGTTTGTTTCCATCACGGCTGGTAGGTTGCACAGAAACGACTGCGACGAAAAGTATGTGATACGGGCTTTTCGTTAAAGTGTTCCGAACATTGGATGTGCCATATAATATTCGAAACACTTTTCCTTTTGCAGAAAAGGATTGGACTTGTGACGAAAGACATGACGGGTCTGGATCCCCTTATTCGGGGTTACGCTTTCGCTGGGGGCATGACTGGAGACTTGTTAGCGAATCCCGGACACGCTTTACGCCCTTAAGGTTCATGAAGAAGTCTTAGACAAGTGCGTGACTTTGAAAGGGCTTTTTTTTTCTATGCACGGATAGCGGCGTACTTGACTGCTTCTGTATACTAGTCTCAAACAACTGAAGGACTCACCCCCAGTGTGTCTTTCGAGTGGACTCCCGCTGTCGTATCCATTGACTGATGGTACAGCGTAAGTCGTCATCATATGTCTCACCACATGACACCCGGTTTCGTAGCCCATCCAAGCTCGCGCTCTGTACTGCAGACTATGGCATCTATTCTTATCTATTCTATAATCTGTCAGTGCTGCATGCGCCGAGCCGTTGGACGCTAGCATTAATATACCAAGAAATTGAGAGCCTCTGTTTGTTATGCCCGCATATTGGGGTGTTAAAACGACGATGGAGACCATCGTAACAGTAAATTCGCACGCTCATGAGAGCTGTAACTCGCAAGTGAGCTGCTTTGGTTTAGATGCCTATGGGCTCTGTGCGTTGCACAGTTTAGTACTAAAGGAAAACTTGCAGACAGATCAGCACTGTGTAAAGTTGGCAGTAACTGCTATCCAACAGAGAGCCATGACCTTGCTGGCATTTAACACTGTCGAACAGGAAGCCCTGATGCTGCTGTCGGCTGCTGGGCTCTTCTCTACTGCTGGGGCTGAGAGGTGTTGCGCTTGAAGGATCCAACATGGGTCATATCCTGCGTGCCTCCCGGAACAAATCCTTGCTTAGCAAACTGGGATGACAGCTGGCACACCAACGGGCTCATTATTCCGACATTCTGGGCGTTTCCTGACAAGATGTCGCTCATAGTGGTAGCAGGGATGCCAGTGACGTCCGGATCGGCCCACCCAGGTGGCACATGACCACCAAAAAACTTCTCTAGACCGGACACATCATTTGTCATGATTCCACTGGACAGCGCCTTCACAAACTCTGGAGCTTCCATGTTCGGGAGAGGAACAAACTGGTGAATTTCTATGGCATGTAATTTGAAGGATATAGGGTCCAGCTCTCCTCCGTACTCAGGTGGTTTGTTAACGGCACCACGGTAAACAACAGATGGCTCCAGTTCGTCGGAAGGCTTGTCTTTCTCTTCCGGAGTAACCCCGTCAACATCTGAAATGGCACATCAGGATGCAGTGCAAACACCGTTTTACCTCCGTATATACATTCATATAGTAGCTATACTGTATCCGTGTCACACAGTCTGCTGTTTTGGTCCCGAACCTGCAGGCTGTGGGGAAGAACCCCCATTCACAGGCGCTCCTTGGCCCTGGAAGGCGGCGGCGAAGTCCGTCGGCATGTTCTCTGGATATCCGAACTTTTCGGCAACCGTGGGCGTCTGTTCCTCTTCCTTCTTCCCAGTGAGCCAGCTCCAAAAGCTCTGCTTCTTTTCGTTTAAGCGGGCCCCACCGCTTTTTGACTTATCAGCGGCACCAACCTAAAAGAGGAAGAAGATGAACACATTTCTCAGAGGTCCAATTAACCGATGTTTTACCAGATTGCAAAAGCATTGGTAGCATGTAGGAAATATGGGCGAATATAGGAAAACTGGTAAGAAATAGTTTCCATATCCACCATATAGACCCGCCATAACTCCAAAGAAAACCGTGATTGCACCATGCAGTGTTGGGAAAGCTGATTCACCTGGGGAGTGGGTTTTGGGTAAACTGGGCCAGGAGGAAGCTGCGACAGAACTGCTTGACGGACGGGGCCATCGCTGACGCTGTTTCCTCGAAGGACTCGTTCTTCAGTACTTTTCTGGAACTGTGAAGCGAAATCTTGCCCCATTGGGTAGTTCATGTTAGCCTCAGTCAGCTGGGCAGAGCCTGGATCGCATAACAGGGGAGGTGCAGGAATTTAACATCCTCTTTTGAGGACGAAATCCATTGGTACTTGCGTGAACAGCTGATCTGACGGGCAGTCCTTGTGTCGTACCTGGATACAGTCTTTGCTGCTCGGTGCGAACCGCCTTCTCCACGGTTTTGATATGGGGCTCCTGATGCACTTGTGTACAGCAGGCGGACCAGCCACAGTAGGGGTTTGATGTTTGGGGTTCATCTTGGACGTAACGGGTCTCTGTGTAAGGGACGATTAGCGGGGGAGGGCAATCAAGTTCAACGTCGAACTTCGGGACATATTTGTACACCGGGACATCTTGGTACTTCTCTTTCCACTCGTACTGCATAACCTCTACTTCTTTAACGACTTCGGTGACCTTAGGGACAATTTTTTCCTTTACGTCAACCACCACTTCCTTTTCAACGTATGTATCCTTGTACTCTATTTGGGGCACTTCAATCTCAATGATTTGTTGCTCGCCCTCGTACTTGGGAACGGGTCTAGGCACCTCACGTATGTCCCACTTGGGGACAAACTGGGGGGCATAGCCCACGTGCACCGGGACTTGAACATCTCTGAACATAAATGCAAAACTCCCCAAGTGCTGGCAGTTTAGGTTTTGTCCAGCAAATTCTGTACGCATAAGAGGACAATTTCCAGAGATTTTCTCACCTCTCGATGACTTTTTCTGTCTCGATGGCGAGGTTTCTCTCGCCACAGTCAACATGTACTTTGGGAACATCGTGAACAGCAGATTGGTTGTACACCTTGGGAACAATACTATCCTTGACCTCTACTTGCGGCACCTCTATGTATTTATCCCGCTTCTGGATTTCTTGGTAGACAGGTACCGGGATGACGGGCTGGTCAGCCTGCAGCCGGATGTGCGCTCTTTGCACCTGCTCGGCTTCACAGGTAAGTCCTTCGCAGGTCGGAGTTCCGCAAAACGGCATAGTGCCGCATCCGGCGTTTTCTTGCGACATCTTTGCCTGGAATATAGTCAACGTGCTCGTTCTTCGTGGGCGCAATCGAGTTCTCAACTGTGGGGCACACGCACGTCATGCACTTCAACAAGATAAGGCATGCTTTGATAACACGACGACACTCCAGATGAGCGAGTTTGGAAGTTTACGCACTAAAACGACGACGGCCAACTTTCGATGCAACATGTCGACAACAGTGCTAGACGAGATGGAAGAAGTCAGAAGGAAACAAATACTCCATAATTCATAGATTTCTCATACTGTCTCAAGCACAAATCTAGAAGAAGTCAACAACTCGTCACAAAACGGGAGGATGGCATCTCGCTCACGCGCTGCCTCGCCGCGTGGAAGTTGAGACGGCCGGAGCTGCTGTACTTGCACCTAGTGTATTCTCTACTTCTCCACTTACTATCAGCTTCACATAAAAAGGGCTTTGGCTAACAGGAGGACGGTATCAATGACAGGTACTGTCTGAACTCCTCCTTCCAGCGGCCTGACAATCTTACAGTTCGGTTGTGCTGGACGGAAATGTCGGCGACGTGTTGGCTGTGCTGAACGTACCTAGTATGCAGCAAACTTGGGTTAAAGTCTTCCTCCATCCACCGTCTTTGAGGATGCTTTCGTTCGTTTCCCTCAAATGACAGTTTTACTGACGCCTCATCGGTGGATGGACGAGGCAGCCAGCCTACCGGCAGCAAGCCAGTGCTTGAGTGAGCATCGGCGGCAGCGACCACCAACGTAGCCGCGTCCTATACGCAGTTGCCGTCGGTATGTGAACTGCCTAAAGTATGATCTCACTAAATTTTAGAGATATAGTATTCAGAAGGAGTAAGTTCTACTTTTGTGTTTAATTTTTGGCTTTTATCGGACGTTCTTAACTGCCTGGCATCGCGATCGCTACCAGCGGGTGCTTGGTTAGGTGGAAGCCTATTGCTTCGAAAAAGCTGCATTCTCTCCAAAAAGGAGGGCTTAAATGACTCCATTATCGGAATTTACTGCATATGTCTTAGTAGAGGGGCATGAGCCACTTTACTAGCGTGTGGCCTGCTGCCGCTGGTAGGCCGCGGTCCTTCCTTGCCCACCACGGTTGAACCACGCCCGAGCAATGCGCACCAGCCGTGCATGTCTCCCTCAGAAGATGATCGAACGCCTAAAACTTGCTGTGTTTTTGTATTTATAGTACTACCGATACTTTGAAGTCTCTGAAGTTTGACTCCGCTTTGGTGAGTGCAACGACAATAGTTCGATCTACTGTTACTTAGCCACGGGCTCTGCACTCGCCGTTGCCAATCTCGTAATTCACTGCAAATTTACGAGATTATTCACCAGATTTGTCAATTTTGTTCACGTTTTAGGCTTGTTTAACCTGACGTAGTCACCTGTTACTCAGTTACTTCATACGATGCCGACCACGGAGGTGACACTGATCCTCAGCGACTGGACTAGAGGGAATAATGGCAAGAAGCTGGAGTTGCCTCACATTCCAATGGAGGCAACAATGTTAGAGGTAAAGAAGTCTGTCTTGGAGGGGTTGGATGCAGCAGATATGCAGCCAGAAACCATCTTACTATTCGCGGGGACTCTTCAGCTTCTAGACGGGAAATTGCTGAAGGACTACAATAAATCTGGCCGCACAAAATTATCACTAGATGTCTATGAGCGTGTAGATATGAACCTCAAGGTTAAAACCTTGCAACGTAAGTGACTCTGCCCGTAGTGGCTTGTCCCATGTCTTCTTGACACCTTGGCTGCCCCGTCAGCCGAGGGAGTACACTGGCCCAGTAAGTGAAAGAAATATACCGAGCGCTTTGCACTGGGTTTACTCGCAGACTGTGGATCTGGTGGATGTGTCTGCATACCACTTTGGTCTTTTCTCTGCCGCCAAACGATAAAGATAACTATTGGTGATCATGAGACAGTTGGCGACCTGAAGCGGAAGATTGCAGAAGAGCTGGACGACCCAAATAGGTAGGGAGGCTCTGAGGTTCCTTATAGGTGTTTTGTACGACCGTTGTTGCGCTGTGGCATATGTGCATGATTACGACAACGTGAATGGCAATGCCTCCGCAGGTACAATCCAGAAAACATCAAACTGACTTTCATGAGCACTATGCTCTTCGACGATTCTCAAGTCCTAAAGGATGCAGGGATACATAATGACGACACCGTCAACTTCTTGGTGGACTGCTGCTACTGGAAGAAGTCACGTAAAACTGGCAACAATGGTGCTGCTTCGGCTCCGCTGAAGGCGGAAGATGCCGCAGACGCTGCACAAGACGTCGCCGACGCCAACGAAGATGCAGGAGAGGGCGCGTCAAAACACGGAGGTGACGAGGCTGGAGCAGAAGCGCGTGATCCACACGATGCCGCATTGGTGGAAAATCCTGGCGAACATCAAGAGTAGCGAAAGAGAGACCTTACGCGCGCTGCACCAACCTGGACTTTGGGGCACTTTAATCTTGTGTACGTTGCATCCGTTATCTGTTTGCTTCTCTGCGGATGGATCATACTTTAGGAGGGGAGGAGTCCTAGCACTACTTCGCGTGCGCATTATCGTCATTTTGCGTAGCCCCGAGGGGCTGCAGTATCACCAGGTCCGTTGTGATTGCTAATCTTATTAGCTTTCACCACTGAAGGCTGCGATATTTAACCTGGTTTGGGAATTAAGGTATCATCTGGAAAGCACGGCTTGGCACGAGGAATTCGAATTGACTAGTTTTAAACTGTTTCTAATTGCGTGTACCCTCGTTGAAATTGCCGGCTACAGCTACGTATTTACACCTTGCCACATTCTAAGGGTCCGTGTGTAGTTCAGTATATGGATAGCCCGTTGAGCATCACTGTGGAAAGATTCAAAGAACAGCAGTATTGTTCAGTAGTTTCACTCTGTATACAACGTGCTCAGTAATTTTAATAGCGTTACTAATCAGTGCAGTGATCTATAGCAATCACGAACCCTCGAACTCCTTGGTACCAAGAACATCTCCTGCGTCATTTTCATCTCCGGCTGTATCGTTTTCTGCTTCTTCCCGTTCTATTGGCATTTCGTCATCCTCCTCGTTTTCTTCGACATTTTTGGAATTTGTCGCCGCCTTTGCGATGCTAGTAACTCTCTGCGCTTTCTTTGATATGTCAAGTGCTGTTTCAGTGACTGCCGGTTCATCGGACTTTTGCGCAGCCTCCTGTGCGAACTTCTGGACGTTGAACACGATATGTTCCCCTAAAAGAGGGAGCATTAGTTCCCATGCTACTATGCCAGCCAGCAGACCTTACCCACTGGCTGTTCCATGCCATTAACCTGATGTAGGATACGGTTTCAACTACTGTTGGGTATAGCATATCAAGAATTTGCTTGCCTTGACTCGGAACTGCTGATTATCATCAAGGGAAAAATCTAAGTTTACCGCAGCCTTCGGTTTTTCCCCGGTTTCTTTTGGCTGCGGCTGTTCAATGGTATGACACTGTTCAGCCGATAAGAATACATGTTAAGCCAACGCACAGGTGGGGGGGGCGTTTGATGCAGCACTTCTGTGATTATGCAGTACAGTCGCATCGCTGCCTTGTACTGCCAGTTAATGTTGCAATACCTTTTTCAGCTGCTTTAATGCTTGGAAGGGTCCCTGAGATCCCCACCGATGCACCGTCAGTTCTGTCGCCACCTATAACGATTCTTACCTTTAAGGCCCATGTGCCTGCAGAACCAGGCCTCCGAGAGCGCTGAAATTGTCCCTGATTAGACAAATGACTTGGCGCTCCTCAAATTTCCTTAGCAATTCACCGTCTATCCAGCTATCCCGAGAAGTACGAGAAGGGGCGCACAAGACCTGCTCCGCACCTCTGTAGTAAAACGCGAAACCTGCGACAGAACCGTCATCGATACAATCCCATGAGGATGTGCAGCAGCCATAGTCCCACAATTAGCGGAGTCTTCAGTTGCTTTGACCGGGAGTTCCACGCCTTCCCAGAAGAACGTGCTGCTCATGAATTAGACTCTCTCTACACCTGTTACCAGCATGAATTATCCCGACTTTTTCAGCACTTTGTTGTGGTAAATTGTGAGAGCAGATCCAGTGATCTGTGCAAAGTTGCTAAGCCACCGATTAAGAAAGAAACCCCATGGACAAGTAAGTGTAAAACCAACCTCGAGTTGTTGCGCAGGAGTTCGTCAGGCTGGATTTCATGAGAATGTCGGTCTGTGAAGTTCAAGTATGCGGCGCCTCTCATTCACCCACGTCAGGCACGAAGGTTAGCGGCCCTATCTTGAGGATTTCGCAGTCTATAATGTGCTACTACAATACGTTTTTCACCCATGTGATACGCGTGTGCTGGGCTACCTGCAACAGAGCTTTCTTCGTCGCCAGATGTTGACAGCCTCGCTGCCTCCACCAGCGACTTAATCGAAGTTGCCTCGTCTGGTGTTCAGCAAGGATTTCATTCAGAAGCCGCTGAAACCGGTGATCTACTTACGCCCCTGTTTGTCAGCTTCGGCTAGTAACAGTGCAGCTTGTTTCATGTTATACCTAAACGTTGCATGCATCTGATAGTACGCTGGCACATTTCTTTGCTCCGAGGGACTCACTCTCGGAGCAGTCGCTCTTCAGCAATGCCCGCCGTAGATCCAGATTCATGCTGCCGTTCGGTGCCACCATCTCCGCTACCTGGTTGTGGTCGTGCTCGATGTAATGCGCTTTCATTTGCTCAAACAAGAGACCCCTCACGGCGCGCTGCCGCCATTGTCTGGGCTGCTAGCTCTCGTTTTCGGTGAGCGAGTAGGAGCAGTCTGTCGTAGCGATCTGTATTCAAAACCTAGGGTTGAGGTTAAAAACCAACATCCTGCTGTCAATGCAAAGGAATTAACCTCAAACTGCGCCCGCAGGTCATCGCGCCTATCAGCAGTCGCCTCCTCCGCTGTTTCTGCCTGTATAGAAAGAAACCTGGGAACAGACTAATCGGGCTGCCAAAAATAAGATTCCCAATTCAGCAGGTTCTCAACTGAAGGCTACGTACGGCTTGCTGTTTTACTCTGAGACCGAATAACCCCATGACTCCTCTTGGGAAACCAATGTCAACGTTGGTTGCTGTACAGAACTGTAGCATCAGGTACCAGGCCCATGGCACTAGCCGAAGGATAGTTCCCGCTGTGAAGCTGCTGGTAGCACCATGCTCCTGGTACAAAGAGGCTGTGAGCATTATCCGACTATTAATGTGTTTTCAAGAATATAAGCGTTCTTCCTTGCTGGCAATTCCAGTTGACCGCGTCACAGCTGACAGTAACAGCAACCGACTATTTTCCGGTATCAGGTAGCCGATGAAATGCTTGAAATAGAAATAAACAGTTGTCGTCAATGGAAGGCATGGCAAGTCAACCTGCTCTGCCTCACAAGATTAAGTATATCAACCTTTAGGAGGGAAAGCGTTGCTTGTACAAGACGCTGCCGTGGTTGCAATCCTCAGCGGTACCATACACCTGAAAGTGCCAAAGTGTATGCGTCGCTGGCTAGGCGAACAGCTCATAGTTCAGAATTTTAAACGACTCAAGAATCACACGGAAAGTCCGATCCAACGATCCTGAAGAGCCGGCCTGTGCACCACTCAAACCACCGGTTTCATCCTTTCTCTCATTCATGGACAGGACAACGTCCGCGCGGTGCTCTGAGCATATCAACTTCCGCACAGTTCAACGCATGACACTCATGCGAAGTGCGCCGGAATGACGCCTACACCTACGACGGGAAAGAAAGTCATAGCTACCACTGTATATGAAAAGAATAGTTGCTGGTGCTCAGGAGAGTATTTCCGCAGTGAAAAGAGCGTGCCAGCTAACCTGGAATTCGTATAACTGCCAGTCGCACGCAAACATGGTCGGGGGATGGAGTTCCCTTTTTCTTCACATCGAATTCTCCCTTAAGTGAAGTTATTGTGCTGTAGGGCGCAGTGAAGAGATAAAGACAACACCAGGCTTTCATGATCTCGTTTGACAACAGCAGGCCAAACGCCAGGCATGCATATGCCTCTGCAGAATGTCAAGCAGAGAATTGGCTAGGACAGGATATACCACTCTTGACGAAATAGGAATAGGAATCTCGCTTACTGCCCTGGTACTGGAGATTCACCCTTCGGCGCACTCCACAACTCCAGAATTCGCGAAGAGGTGGCAGAGTTTGCTTCCATGAGGTCGGTGAAAAAGAACCTGTTTCGAGCCAAACAGGTGCCAGCAATGGTATGACTAGTTCATACAATGTTACCAAAGCAATAAATACAAATCAAGGTGTGACAGCTCTGCACGTTCCTGCCTATATCATGCTTTTCCACTGATGGACGCACTCTGCAGCCTTCGAATCTGGTACTTCTTGATACTCCAGGACTTCAATGATGACACTTATGCTCCCATCATCGTTAACAAACGCCTCTTGTTGATCAGGAACGACCATGAATTTGCTGAGAAAGCACGCCTCACCTCGGTGCACGTAAAAGTAGCTGTCATCCACAGCTGCCACGGGATTCCCTGAGCACAGCTGCACGGTTCTTGGCAGTTACCATGCCGCTATGCCAGCCTAAGCAGCCCCACAGGTTCCCAGAAATGAAATATAGCGAAGAAGAAGAATATCAGGAGGGCAGGCTTACCTCATGTCGCCCAAATAATTCGGTAGTTCGCATGACATGGCACCACCGAAGAGGGCATGAGCCCGGAAATTCGACCCAGAGACAGACAAATTCTCCATACTCTACGCTCCATGAAATATGTATAGAGACAAGGTGTCGTAGTACGTAGTACGTGTGGGGAGGCTGAACTAGACCTTCGTCCTCTACCGTGCAGATCCGCCGAATGTTAGAAATCTGCATATATGTGGGGCCACATCGTTGCACTGCACTGTCGCCAACGCATACATCACAAACACAAGATTACAGAGTGGCCACAAACTACCCAAGACTCCAACTTCCTCCTGACGTAGGTCAAACTTCTAACCAAGCGGGATGTAACGTGGGAGCATGACAGAATTTGTTGAAAAGCGATGGCCACAGGAAAGTATTCGAGACTCTGATGACCTCAAAATATGAACTCTCAATAAGGAATCAAGAAGTAAAACTGGATTTCCACGAAGTGCTCTATAAACTGCTACCTTAGCCACCGAGAATGAAATCTACACTATCTGGGGCTTGGGGCTGGATCTGTAGTGCACAGGCACTACAATGTTTCTCAGGTGTGACCACTAGAGGCCTAATATCAGAAAAGGGAATAAATACTACTAAATATTTCGTGGATTAGGGCACTACTAGTTAGGAAAAGGAAAAAAGACTACTAAATTTTCCAGGGATCAGGGCACTAATAGATACAGACGCAGCTTAATATGATCAGTGTGTTAGCCTGCCGCGCCAGCTCGTGTAATGTAGTGCTCAAGCATTACTATGAATCCCAGGTACTACCTCTACAGAACTAATAACTGGAAAAGAAATAAAAAATATTAGATATATCAGTGATCAAGACACCTTTAGATAGAAAAGCAGCTTAATAGGACCAGATGGCTAGCCAAACAACGGAGGATATAATGCTACTTTGAAGAATTCTGCTGGGCGCAGTATAGAGTCGCAGTTACTGAGGCAGCGTGCAGTGAGTACATTCATTTTGACTGCCTGTCTCATGGTGGTTTTCAGTGGTCGTGTTCTTGTCGATGTTGAGCGCCAACATCAATTCAAGCAGGCTGTCGCTAACGAACTCGATATCAGCGTTTACAGTGAAGCTTCCAGTCATGGTAAACGAATAGCTGAACTGCTCCCTCTTCTGTAGCTTAACTAGAACACGGGATGAAGTGCGCGTACTTACCAACCGGTTCACTATGACCTAGATGCTATCGTACCTTTCAAGCGGTGGTAAGCTTACTATGAAATCCATTGGGATAACCGTCTAGGTCCATTAGGGGACCGGAACGCTCTGCCAGAGTCGAATTCGAGAGATTCCGTGGCTTTTACGGTTGGCAATAGGAGCGCATGAGACCGTATTTCTCCTCTGACGGGATCATGCTAGGTCGCAAAACGACCTGGCTACCCGCTGCACAGTCGTACTGACGCGTCCACGAACTGCGAAAAGCACAGTCGTGTGTTTTGCGTAAGCCTTTTGATCAACAAAATTTTGTCAGGCAAAGCCAGATGTTCCGTGGGTGCCCTAGTCGCCATCCATTGTTGAGTAAGCGATAACTGCAGCCGCGTGATGATCTAAAGAGAAGAATGGACTTATCTTATAGGAAAGAAATCGGAATCAACACCCACAAGCATTCTTCCGGAAAGCGCTGCTTGACCCTATGGTGTCGGGGCAATGCTCCAGCGAGCACGTAGAACCCCTCATATGTTTCACCGTGAGGTGGTACTGTTTGAATCGGCAAGTTATCGGACAAATCCTTCATAACCGTAGTCTGGAGAACTGTTTGAAAGATGTTTCAGGGATTCATTAACTGTTTGAACAGTGAAGTTCGCATAAGTAATGCCGCTTATGTTTTTCCACCCACAAAAGGATTGAAAGCCCTTCTTCTCCAACTGGCTACTTCTGATTTCTGTGTGAGGCGACGATAGTGCCAAGCGATGGTTTGGTGCCTTTTCGAATTGTCGACTTGCTTTAAGAGCATCACCACAACTGCACTGTCACTGGCATATGCTGTTAAGCAGAACGGGTTGCAGACAGGGCATCAGGGAACGCGAATACTGGAGACCACGCGAAGTATCGGAAGGAGATTCTGGCGGCTACATTGTCGGCCACCGTTCATATGAGTTGCTCATCCTGTTTGAGTGGATCGTTTAGAGGGACAACAATGCTGACAAAACCGGGGAGGAAATTGCGGTAGTACAACGGGAGACCGAGGAGCTTCTGCATGCCCGTGCGTGCGGCCCAGGGTAGCGGCCGTCTCGGAATTGAATTTACTGTCCGGAAATCATGTTCGACCCCCGCTGGAGGGATCTAAAACCCTAAGAAACTTATTGCTTGCAAAACACGAACTCTTATGTGCTTTCATGAAGCACCTCTTCTCGTTTAACAGTTGCACACCACGTGGCAGATGATGTAGGTGCTCCGACAGACTTGGGCTGAACACAGGCACTCCTTCAATGTATATAACCATCCACACCCCGTTGCCTGGACCAACACGATCGTGCTCCGGAAAACAGTAATCTTGCTTGGATACTCTCATCATTGTCATGCCTTCAATACGTGCAACAAAGATGCCAACAGTAATTGTAGTTATTCTGGTTCTTGTTGGAGGTGAAAGAAACGTTCTAAAGGGGCAAATATTACTCCATCACACCCGTGTCGCTGCACGTGTAGCATAGTCTGGTGAATCTTGCCAACTCTGTCTAAAATGACGCATGTACCCTCATTCCAACCTTAGGAAACGAACGGAACGCAAGGAAAAGCCTTCAACAGTTGTCCACAGCGTTCATGCATAGAGTCGAGGAAACGGTCTTGTGTTTGCTTGTGTGGTTGCCCTGCACCTTGAGGTGCAGCAACGTGCGTTGAAACTCATGGCATGCCCCCTCCTGCCACGCACCTCCTGGCGCCTGCGTTTGTGAGCTCAGGACTCCTGGAGACTGAAACAGTATGCCAACTGCTCTTTATATACTTTTGAGGTAAGTGTTTTGGCTCCACGAATGGTCGAAATAGTGCTCGGATCAGATCCAGGAGTGGCGGTATTGCTCCCGCCATGTCTTGGTGATCGCCAGGGGCGGAGGCATTTCCCACGAAAGGTTGTTTTTGTAATGGCATTTTTGCTGGAAGAGATGTAGAAATTTTCCTATATTTAACTGGACAAGGCTCCGAACTGTCGGTCGCCTCCCCACGATAGTGGAGATCTTGGCCGAACTCCATCGTGCGAGGCAAACAACGGCTGAAGTTTGACAAAGATTTTACGAGAGTTGTTGTATGCATATTTTCAAGCACCTTCGGTACTCGTCATGACTATGCATCCTGCCATCTTGGACTGGGGGTGAGATTCGTTCCTCCCACTGTCTCTAGTAATAATGCGATGTCACCCTGTGAAACGTACTTCGAGAACTACTGGGAGGTGCAGGGAAGCAAAAATACTGAATATGGAGCTTTGTTTAATGCAGTTGGCCTCAGTCTGCACTGTCCACGCTTCATCGGCTCAGCGGGTTAGGCGCCTGGAGCTTGGGCCGTCCGCTTGCTTGCAATACACCTTGCTGGATCTCAAGGTGCTAAAAAGCCCCAAATTCAAGCACAAACAAGCCCTCTTGGCTCTATGCGCATGCACTCTAAAGAGGTGTTGAGAGCATTTGTTTGCTTACCGCTCGTCTGCTGGGGCCGGGTACGGGGTCATTTGCCGACTGCAAACAGACAGTCGAACTTCGGTCGGGCTACTTTAAACCAACCGTGTATACGAGGGGTGTTAGTCATACGAGGAGCATCTTGGGTTTGGCTCATCCGAAGGCTTAGTCGTTCGACTGAAAGGGGTGAAAGGGGTCTGTGTCTTCCTGAAAAGACCTTGCCGTACGCACGGGATTGCTGATCACGAATTCATCAGCTGCATTGGACCCCCCCACAGCGCGCACTGGTCACAAGTTGCCAGCAGAACTGCCTTCCCACTCTTCCCGCATGCACGTCCCAATTCTATTGTCATTCTGTCTCTTGGATTGAAAGCGCTACAAGAATCGGATGCAGAAGACTCTGCGTGCCCGAGCCCTGGGCAACACCACCACTCTACCGACCCCATCACACTGTGCAGGTGCAGCTGATGGCCAGACCAAAACTTCATTTCAACTCAGCTGAACTGAAAGGTTGACCTTTCAGTGGGCTCGGTGTTTATCCATAGTTTTCAACTTTTTTCGTACGGTTGTTCAGCAGCTGCTTCGGTAGTTGCACCTAGGAGTCTGACACATGCTTAGTCCCACACTTGATAGTTGTATGAATGGTCATTAGTTCACGCTGTTTTCCCCACTTTCCAGTGAATACTCACCAAGGCTTTCGCGCCGGAACGAATCTCGGCATTGGTGTTTCCAGAGTTTCCCGTCGCACCTCCGTGGCGCTGTTCGACGATCACACCATTTCATACTTACCCAATGACGTACAATTCCTTTACATGACCTATTCCCGACACGTGCAATGAGAGTTTGGAGCCCCTTTCCATTCGTTGGACGACCCTGATAGCAACTGCTGTCAACTCGCCCAACTCCCGGGCGGTTATGGGTATCTACGAATGTGGAACGAGCCTTCGAGGAACCTTTTGCTGAAGGTGGCTGATTACAATTTTGGGGACCACAGTGTCTGCTGAAGATTTCACTTGATGCACAGCTTAGTTTATCTCTTGTGTTCTTTAGGAGAGACACAATACTTGTTTTTCTGTGCCAGGAAAGCTGCCGGGAAATATTCCCACGTAGCTTGGCCTTTGCGCTACTGGACGAAGCTTCCGTGTTTCCAAGTGACTTGCTTGCCAACGAAGCAATCTCCACTGGGTCTCGGAAAACCGGAATTCCTTGGGCTTTGAATGCGCTGGACGTTTCTTCAAGCATATTGCAGAGTTCTGCAATGCCGGACTCACATCCCCTCTGTAGGCCCCCATCCCCACCACCATCGCCGGAGAATTCCCGCCGAGCAGCACTCGTTTCGAGCTGGCCCTGGGGATTAATCTGCTCTTCTGTACATCCCATACAGTCATTTCCAGTTTTTGGACTACGCTGGCTGGCGTCCTGGATTTCCTTTGCATCGGAGTTTGATAATTCTCTGGAGCCCAGGGTTGCCATGCGGGAGATGTCAGGGGCCATTGGGTTACAAGAAGGGGGTGAAGGGTTCTGCATTATCTCATCTTGTGGATATACAATTGTCTGTTAAAAGCATGCCGACAGCACAATGTGAACAAGCACATCATGGAAAACCTTCCTTGCCCACCTTTGCCCACCCAGAGGATGTATTATTTGTCTAGAGACTTAGCATCGCACACGAAAACACAGCAGCACCTAGCCTCCGCTAGTTCGCTTTCAAAGGCCGTTATTTTGCCTTTAGAGAAAGAATGAATATTCGTCACGGCTCTACTGTACTCACGTTTGATTTCTGGAGGCCATTTGTTGCGTGTTGTACATGAGAACCAGCACCAGAAGAGCTGTGGTAAAGGCCAACTTGCGCCTTGCCTAATCCATTTCGGGCATGTCCTTGGCAAGATTGCAACGCTCGATGTAATGCAGAAGAATCCACCGCACTCGGTGATTTCAAATTATCCAGGAGAGAAATGGGATTCACTGGACATGAGAGCCCGTGTTGTGTTCGCCGAAGCGCCCCATTAAAAAATACCACCCCACATCTGCGAAGACGAGGCTGCTCCACTACCTGACAATGCCCTAAAGCGCTAAGCGAGCATTCTAATCGGGGCGTTAAAGTGTTTATGCTAGTATCGTTGCAGATTTCCAGAAGCATCTTGATCTGTTCAATACACTCCGTTTCTGGCGGATACTGGCGTGAATCGCTTGAATCTTCCGTTGGACTTGCGCGCGACTGTGGCCCAATTACACTCTCTAGGAACATCTCAAGGTGTTCCAAAGCAAAGGAAAAGTTACGTGCAAGGCGAGTAAGATTTAGAAGTCTTTTGACATCGTTGGTGAACTTCGTAGATAGCGCTTTTTCTAGTTGGAGGAGGCGCAATAGAGAAACCTGAGCAGAATGTGGAGCAGCCATAGAAACTACCCACATAGGTTTAACCAGCCTGGTTAATTGCAGCAGTAATCCATGTTTCAGAGCAAATATAGAGCACGCTTACCACGCAGACGAAGCTACCACAGGAGTCTGCCGACAATGCAGAAATGGCAGGTGGTCCTCCTCTCTCCAAGTCATCGTTGGGCAGTTCACACTCTTCACGAGAGCCTCCCTCAGTGCAAGCTTTCGCCCCATTTGGCTTTGATAGACTAAGCCGATGCAATATTTCCCTTGCAGCATACTCCTCCACAGGACCTATTTGGTGCAGAACCGATAGAACGTCTTGTACATCGAGCAACCTTGACGCCTGCATCCGCCAATCTCAGTCGGTACAGGAGAAAATCGCAATGCGCGTCGGCCAAATAGAGGTTCACGTGCTAATGACAACGCCTTTTCGGAGTGTCTCAGTATAGGAGGTGCATCCATCTGAGCTGCCATCAGGGTGAAAAAGGGGACCGTGAGAAGTAACGGACATGGAGCAACTGGAGTGCCGCCTTCTCAGCCAAGAAGTGCTTCCCCAAGCCATCTGAATTTGCGGAGGCCTTTTGACCTAACGCTCGCCTACAGGCTTCGTGCTGTTTACTTAGATTCAACGATTCAATGAGGTGCCGCGAGTCTTGTAGACGTTTGGCGGTGCATCTTAGCCTCTCGAGTTTAACAAGATCTTTAACGAGACTACTTTTGCACACCATGCAGGCCAGCTGTTGAGTCAGCATGGTTTGCTGAACCTTATTCAAATGGGAAAGAGAAGAGAGGTAGGCCTGTCGTGCTCGGCAAAGCCGAATGCACTGGGCATGGCAAGCACTAAGCGCTGAGCACACTTCCATTCGAATTAAGTTCGTCGCACTGGCATACTGCCTGGCAAGACTTTCCGCTATCGCTGCATGTCCTAAGACAGTAGAAAGAAGATGACGCAAAACTGATTCATTGGCATGTGCGGGTGTGGCCGATGTATTACCATGCACAAATGCTTCAACCTGGTTGTCAATTGGTCTATCAAAACAAGAAAAACTCTGGGAAGCATCTGCTGGAGAATCTTCTCCCTCTGCCTCTAGTTCACTGAAAGAAACGCCGCCTAGTTGGCACCCTTGAAACTCCGGAAACCATGTTTCTCCAACGCTTTCTTCATCTGTTGAGCTGTTGGGCGCAATCTCAGAGAAATCTGTGGCTACATTAAAGAATTGGCAGCAGTTTATGACTGCGTTTGATGAGGCCACTGTCCCCGTATTGGTTCCGGAAACCACAGGAAAGTTATTTCCATTCTTTTTCTGTGTTGTGCCACTCATCGTACCGTGTGGTGGAAGCCCATTCACGCCTTTATGAGAATGCTGCAGCAGCAGACTTCTACCGCTGTGCCCAGGTGTTGGATCATCGTTTCAGCCGTATCATTTGGTGAGCATAATGTTACGCATCGGCAGCTGAGAAACGGCCATAACAAACAAGTAAAGCCTATAGCGCATAACCAGTTGCTGGGGATTGCGATTTTGTTTGGGGCTGGGCAAGCGCAACTGTACAGCCCCAGTAGATGCAGCCCCAAACTGACAGCTGGAGTCGTGAATTCAGTCTCAACCGAAGCAATTAGCTACTCCTGTAGAAAGTGTAAAGGGTAACCCGGAGAAGGGCATTCAGAATTCACGTGTACATGAGTCAGAGGCATCAAGCTGCCTTCATTAGCCACCCATATTGTAGAATTTGGCCGTGGGTTTTGTTCATTGCTAGCAAAGTGAGCACAAGCTGATACCCAAATCAACGACCCAAGCACTACAGATCGTTTCACTTGCCCGCAGGAATTAATGCTGAGCGGTGATGAACTCTCTAGTAGTTCTGCAGCAACAGCTAGTACTCCGCAACGGAGGTGCTGAGAGACTTGTCAGAGGTAGCTGCGTGCTTCCAAATGCATGTATTCATTGGCTAGTGAAAGCCATTGGAAGAGAGTGTTCGTAACCTGACGGCATAATTAGTTCATGCATCAAGAGTGGGATTTGGCACGCTTGTTACTGTGGTTCCCTCGCTGAAACAGTTGCAACATGAATTAGCGCAAATCAGGGCTGCCCGGTTCGTATCAGTGAATTTACTACTCCCCTGTGCACATAGTTAGAAGCACAATGCAACGCTTTCTTTTCTCAAAAATGCTCCATACGTTGGAGATTAACCGAGAGATTATGCGTTAATACGCAATAGTTACTATAGCAGTCCCCATTCACGGAGTCCCGATCTTGATATAGGTTCTGATCATGAATAGCATATTGCCTACTTTTAACCCTAATAAAACTCCCGGAAACTCAAAGCGTATCTTAGAAAACATTAAAGACTCTTCACAATCAATGGAACATTGCTGCTTGTCCATCACTCCGCTACACCATCCAAATGGCCCATCTAGTCTAGTGAACAACTCTTGCACGCGGGTGTTACTACGTCTTACCCTATGCATACTTACATGGGTGCACACTCAATATCTATTGCCGAAGTCAGTGAATCTCTTCTGAAGTTCTATATTACCAAACAATATACTTGAACCCAAGTTCCAGTTATCCATAATATATGGATATATATATATATATATATATTATATATAT